CAGTAAAAATCACATGTCCCAAAAAACCATTTTTCATTTAAATGGTTGTGAATTATGTTCTTTAACAGCTCGTAATGATTCACAAATAGTTTGTGAGGACTCCGACAGAGGTCTGCCACAGTCTTTCATGGTAAGGCTAATAAGCACCCACCTTTATTTTATCTCCCTTGAAACCTAATTGCCAATTAGTTTTGCAGGCCAAACGGAGCACAGAGTCAAACAGAGCTTCAAAGTTTAAAACAACCAGAATGAACAAAGATTGCTTCCTGCAAAAGTTCACATCCGTTTGTTCCTCCTTTATGTCCCATGGAAGGGGCCAATCATCTCCAAGCTTTACTCCCAAGTTGCCCCTTTTGTCTTAACTATTCTTGCCTTCTGGCAGCTCTGCGCATGCTTGCACTGGGAACAGGCTCCCCCTGCTACTCTGCCTCACTGCTATCAGGCTCTGGAGGCAGCACATAAGTACCAATGGCCCTGGCCCCCTCTCTGCCTCCTATGCAGAGGGCCTCGCCCGAGCCTTTCCCAGACTCCAGAACCGGCCCATGTTCCTTCCCAACCTCCTCACTGTTTGACTCTGCTGCCAGTTCCGCAGGCCTCCAGCAGACCACAACAGGCATTTATTCCCAGCAAAAAACAACCCATAGCGAACAATGTTTGTTTAATAGCTGCAACATTCACTTTACAATCACTGTGTTCACCTAATCACTGACGTAAAAAAGATGAAATGCTCCCATGACCTGCTTTATACCCTCACGACTTATGACTGAAATAGTGAGCTTTATGGTAGTCATAAGTCAAGGAGAGCCTGTACTTGCTGTCAGCTCCTATGATCCAGCTCGTTTCAGTAGCATGTGGGCTGAGTGAAGCTGGTCACGATCAATGCTGATTAATCTTGCTGCCGGCTTTCTTCCCCAGAGAACTGGAAGACATAACCATGGTGACTGAAAGCCTTTTGTGCCTTTGAACAGAGAGCTTTTCTGTGCATTGACTGAAAGCTACAGGAAAAGCTCCCTCCCTCCCTCCCTTTTAATGGACACCAATGCATATAAATATTCGCTCCCTTATGGAGTTACTGATATGCTTCTGTTCACACACACCATGCAATACCACCTTGCTACTTGTATGAGAAAACATGGTTAGTTAGACAATAATAATTCCCAGTGACATCACCATTAAAACACCCATTGTGTATAATGTGAAGATTGGATTCTATGTCTCCAGGAGAACA